TTATTTATTTGACAGAGAGAGACACAGCGAGAGAGGGAACACAAGCAGGGGGAGTGGGAGAGGGAGAAGCAGGCTTCCCGCCGAGCGGGGAGCCCGATGCGGGGCTCGATCCCAGGACCCTGGGATCATGACCTGAGCCGAAGGCAGTTGCTTAACCAACTGAGCCACCCAGGCGCCCGCTACCCAAACCTTTAAGTGGAGGCAGTATCGCCTCAATGGTACAGACACACAGAGGGCGGGCACAAATATTTAGCATTTGTGGCACACGGTGCTAGATATAGAAGTAATAAAGATACACGGATTTTTATTTCATCCTCTCAACTGCCTCAAGAGGTAGGTCCTCTTACTGTGCATATTTTAAAGCTGAAGAAAATGAGACTGGGAGAATTAAATAACTTGTCCAAGATCACACACTTGGGGTTGATAAAGCTCCAGTATGAACCGAGGTCTGTCCCAGTTAAGAAGACCTACTGCACTCTAACCGTTGGTATTTTTAGTCTGCCTCCCCGACCCGTAGCCTTGAATTGGGGGCCTTGCATACCAGGACCAGGTCCTGCTTGACTTATGCCCCCAGCACATAATAGATGCTTAGTCGATGTTGACTAGCTGAACGAATGAACAGACTAGACCGTGTATGAAACAGTGAGATCGCACAGTAACCACCTCCCGTGGCTTGGCCACTGGGTCCCTGCTTTCGTCATCTAAGTCTCCAAGATGGCCAAAAGACACCTCCTCGCATTCTGTCTTCCAGGGACTTCGGCCAGCTGGCTGTGGAGCTCCTAGACCAGTCCTACAAGCAGGATGAGCAGCTGGCCATGAAGCTGCTGACGTATGAACTGAAGAACTGGAGCAACGCCACCTGTCTGCAGCTAGCTGTGGCTGCCAAGCACCGCGACTTCATTGCGCACACGTGCAGCCAGATGCTGCTCACAGATATGTGGATGGGCCGACTCCGGATGCGCAAGAACTCGGGCCTCAAGGTCAGCACGCCCAGGAGGCCCCGTTGGCTAGGAGGACCAGAGGGTTGGCTTGGAGCTCGCCAAGCCAAGTCTGCAGCGGGACTGGGCATTCTCTTGTCTCAGGAGGCTGGTTTTAAGCCCCAGCTATGTATCAGAATCTTCTCCAGAGTCTCTAGAGTGGGTTGTTTTTTTTTCATATAGAGACTAGGGCCTACCCCAAATTCTGCTAAGTCAGAACCTCTAGAGATGGCATGCCCAGATGTTAGTATTTTGCAGAAGATCCAGAGGTGATGGGCACACAGAGGTACTATAGGAGGTATGATTTGCTCTGGCACAAGCCATGCTGCACCAAGAACCCCTTACTGGGCAACCTGTCACCACCACCTAAGCCTGAATGTCTTGGCCCTCCTTTGTACCTTGTCGTAGAGACACTGGCTCTTAGCAGCTATGCTTGAGAAATGTTTTAAACTGAAACAAAAAGGAGATGGATTTATATGTAAAGATGTTGCTAGATCATCCCAATCTATTCTTAAGTGAAGAAAAACAAGTTGTAGACCAGTTATATAGAGCCTGAGTCCATATTTATTTTTTTAAGCATGTACGTGCATAGTTATATCTGTACATAATTTTGTTAAGTAACCAGGAAGGATACACCATAAGTTGTTTGTAGTGGTTACCTCTGGGCTCGAAAGTACTAGACGTAGGATGACATGTGGCTTTGCTTCTTTATGTTTTCTGTAGTGTTTCACGAGGAAGACATTAAACTGAAAGAAGTACAGAGAAAGAAAAAAATGGGAGGGAAAGATTGAAAGAATGTTTGCAAATGCTTTCTCTGTCTAGAGTTTGTGGCTCTGACAACAGAAGTCAAGCTCATATTTACCTGGAGCTACCTGGTCTAGGTAACTCTGAGGTCAGCCCAAAGCAGAAGGGCCATCAGACCATTTTGCTGAGGCCACCCTGATGGCGCCAGCACTCCTCTCCGATGCTACCCTTCCTGTGGCTCTCGGCCCAGAGTCACAGAAGGGCTCCATGAAGTGGGTCGTGGGCGCTCCACAGCCACACCACCGCCAAGCCCGGCTCTGAGCTCCGAGGACAGGGTGTCATGTCCCCTGAAGGCTGCCAGCATGCCACCTGAGCCTTCCCAGGCCTGCCAGGCACCCCGACTTCAGGCACCACCCTCCCTTTTCTCTTGGCTGCTCCCAAGTCCCCGTGGGCATTCAAGCACAGGCTGTCCCTGCCTCATTACTTGAGGGTCATTTTCACTTACTGTTCGGGATCTCTCTGAGCCCCTCACCTTGATGCGGTTTCTTCAAGGAGGCTCGTATTCAGAAGCCTTGTATAGCAGAACCAGTTGAGTGACTGAGAGGAGAGGCGGGAGAAGACTGTGAGGGCACAAGTCACATGCCTGAATTATCATTCAAAGGCAGAATGAGATCGTCCTCTCGGGAGAAGGGCCCATGTATTTATTAGCATCACGTGGAGGTGGAAGCATGTCGTTTATACATGAGAGGCACACGGTGCTGAGCCTCCTGGAGTCTTTGTGTAGGGGGGTTCTCATGGCGAATACTGAACCCACAGGTGTGTGTGTATGTGTGCGTGTGCTATAGTAACAGATGCCAGGGGAGTGATTGGCAATGAAAACATGCTTTCCCACATGGACTTTCTCAAGGTCAAGTGGGGACAGCATTTTTTACAGAATAACAAGATGACGCATAATCAGCTCCACTTGACATGTTAGCAAATAAATGCCAGTGGACATATGTACGAGTTGATTTCACAAAGCCAAGTGCTAATGGCTAAAGGAGAATCTGAATTCTTTCCCACTTCAGCCTTGGGCAGGGTCTGTCACTTTCCTCAGTTTCCCCCGTGCCAAGTGGATGTTAACTGAGTAAGATGTATTTGAGCAAGATGCTCTGTTTCTGCAAAATCGGGCTGAGCTACCGCTGTGTGTGACGGTTCTCAGACGGGCAAGAGTGACCCCTCGGGCAGTAACATAGGCAGGTCCTCGCTTGGGGTGCACACAGCACACGCGCGCATGCGTACACCCCCTCCCCCGCCGCTCTGATTCTAAAAAAAAAAAACCCCGCCCTAATCTTAATCCTTTAAATGTGATTATTATTATTATCATTATTATTACTTTAGGTAATTCTGGGAATTCTACTTCCTCCTTCAATTCTCAGCTTGGAGTTCAAGAACAAAGACGACATGCCCTATATGTCTCAGGCCCAGGAAATCCACCTTCAAGAGAAGGAGCCGGAAGAGCCAGAGAAGCCCACGAAGGAAAAAGATGAAGAGGACATGGAACTGACAGTAAGGAAAACTGCACGGTCATGGTCCGTGGGCAGCAACCCGAAGCCACTTGTGCCGGTGCTACGGCTTCAGCCTCAGTCACTCCCGAGCTCACCCTCCAACCGGGTGCTTCATTGAAGCACTGAGACCCGGGTATTATAAAAAGGCCTCCTCTGCGCATAAATAGCATAACTACAGGGACTATTTCTGTGCAAAGTCCTTCAGCCAGAGTCAGTGGCACAGGACAACCGAGGGAAATTCAAAAGCAAGGCACCCTCAGCTTCCCAAACAGGCAATGCTTTATACGCAAGCAGGTGAGAGGGCTGTCTGCGCCTACCAAGGAGGCAAAGGCATTTTTGCGGTGGGAGCAGCCGGCTTCCCTGGGCTGGAGCTGTGCTGGGGATCAGACGCTATGCCTTTTTCTGTCTTCAGGGTCAGGCTCACAAACACAGGACTAATTGAATTTGGAGGTTTGTATGGAAGGCTTTTATTAGCTCTCCCTGGTATAATTCTAGAACGTGGATGCTTTGTTCTGCAGGGAGAACGGGGCAGCTGGGCATGGGACAGCTTCCCACAGCCCTCGCCTGAGCAGCATGACTGCCACTGGATTGTACCCAAAGTCTAAAAATATCACATGCCATTAAAGGGACAGACAGGGCTTCAGAGATTTGGAGACATCAAGTAACAACTCCATAGGCCTTCCTTGATATCCCCCACCTTCCCCACCATGACTGTGATGACCCAAAAAACAAAAATTGGTTTTGCCCTGGTGACAAAAGGCTCTTCGCATTATTATCCTAGTGGGACCACCCTGTAAATTATTTTGCTTCCAGATCAACAATATTTCCTTCCTAAAGGAAACAATCCCAACCCCAGGGCAGGGCATAGGCATCTGACGACTCTTTTGATTGATTAATCATTCACAGTGTTTGACTCACAGAGTTAAGTTTGTTTTCCATTTCAGGATTCTTATAAAAATGGGTGGACAAGTCGGCTTGCCTCTGTGATAAGATCAGATGACTGTCTTCCCTAAAGATTTTACCGTAATGTTGGCCTCTGAATCCTTCAAGGATAGGGAATGATATTTTAAGCATTAACAGAAACATTAGTAGTAGTAATAGCAAATCTTTACTGAACACTTCAGTAGAGGGGTAAAGCCAGAATCCTGCTCTAGCACCTACTCATGGTGGGACCTGGGGCACAGTTGCTTAACCTCTATTATGGGAATAAGAACATTGTCTAGCTCCCAGGTGGTTTTTCAGTTTAAAAAGTGTACATGTAAATTCTCTAGACCAGGGCCTGGCACACAGTAAGCCTTGACAAATGTTTGCAAATATTATGATAATATAGTGACAAATGTTTGATGTGCACTTCCTCGTGGAATCCGCACACAATCCCATGAGGTAGGTGCTATTATTATCATCCCATTTTACAGATGAGGAAGCTGAGACTCAGAGAAGTTAAATTGCCCAAGGTTACCCAGCTAATTAGTTGCAAGGCCAGGATTAGAACCCAGGCATGGAGATCCCACTGTCATGCTTGGAGGCCTGTAGGCGCAGGGATGCAGAGAATTCCTTCTTGGTCTCAAATGTAGGTATTCAGTTGGTTCTGTCTACCATATAGCAGGAAGAATCCAAAAGTAATGCATGGGCCTCCTACGTCAAGTATAACATGGCTTGAAGGCTCAAGGAAGGATCCTATGAAGGCGGCCTGGTGCTGAATCAGCATTCTTTCTGGTTGGGTCTCAAGCAAGAAAACAAAGGAAGCAGCTCCCTTCTCCTGCTCTGGGTATAGCTTTGAGGATCTGGTCCAAAGTCTGCTTCCCAGAAAGTCAGCCCTGCTGTTGTTTACTGAGAACCCAAGTAAAAGCCAGCCCGTGAGCAGTGCTGCCTGGCCTTCTTCCCCAGAGGCAGAAAGAACTAGGAGGAATGGAAGAAGGGACTTGTGGGCTGATAAAGTCAGGGCTGGACAGCAGATATCTTTAAGGTGGAGCTTCCTTTGACCCCAGTGACAATTCTGTCACTGCTGGATCACTGGTCTTCACTCACCCCGGGGAGGATTGGAGAATGCAGCCTGTTGACACCTCCACTCTTTTCATAGAAACAATATCTGGATTTCCGTGTTAAGCCAACATCTTTCTTGGACTGGGATGTTTTCCCGTGGCCCTTCCAAAATTATACACAAAATATGAGTCTCAGTTTCATCTTGATAGCCTTTCATAGATCTTTCCCAGACTTGACATCTGTGTCCAGCCAGCAAAAAATTCTTCAATCCATATTGTGCAGTTTTGCCTGTATTTGACCCTATTACGTTCTGCTGAAGGAATGTACTCAAAGGAAATGCTTGGCTACTGGGAAGAGAAATCAAGAAAATCAGTGAGTTAAGCTGCTTAGGCTGGAATTAATGAAATTTCGAAAATGCTTTCCTTAAACCCACAAAAGAAAAGCTTTTTAAAAAAAGCATTCACTTGGGAATGTATCAGAATTATAAAGGCAAAACAGGCTGTGGTGTTTTTGTTTTTGTGTTACCTGCATTGCCAGATAAGTGTGTTTGCACTCTGCCTCCTAAAGTCCCAGGCTGTCCATGGACCCAGGGCATTGTTTCAACTCTGTTGGGGAAGCCACTGTCCCTAGAGGTTACCCCAAGATGTCACTCTCCAAGATGCCTTTACGAACATCCTATTATGTCCCCAAATGGTACTGTATTATTGAGCAGATAAAGAAGTAGAACAGAAGCAGGATAATTATGTTACATAAATTATAAATTATAGAAGGATAAATACCATGGAACTTCAGAGTTTCTTGAGGTCAGTGGTCAATATTTATAGAAGTCTAATGTGCTATATCCATCATGAAGGTTGGCCGAGCTCACTGATCAAAAGGAAGACTTGGTTAGGCCATCAAATGGGATCTTACCTATTCATTAAGTCAAGGTAACTTTCTAGCCAGAGAGTCCATATAGGAATGGAAGTTACCCTGTTACCTTCTCCAGAAATCCCATTGGTTACAGGTTCATCATTTTTGATTGTTATATATTTGAGTAGGTGGACAGTTGAGGCAATGACAAAAGTAGTTGAAACTTACATATGTATGTCTTGAGTAAGGTGGTTTGAAACCAGAATTATCTGTTCTCAAAATCGAGATAAACAAATTACTTCTATAGTTAGATCTCTCAACTGTAAACCCATATCCTAGTCCTTTTTCTTGTCCCAAATCCTTGTCAGTCTCTGAGCAGTTACAAGGATTTGCCCTGTTCTTACACTTAATAAAAGTCTCATTTCCCTCAAAAAAAAAAAAAAAAAAGTCTTACCATTTGCAACGATATAGTTGGAACTAGAGGGTATTGTGCTAAGCGAAATAAGTCAATCAGAGAAAGACAAGTATCATATGATTTCACTCATATGTGGAATTTAAGAAACAAAACAGAGGATCGTAGCGGAAGGGAAGGAAAAAATAAGACAAAAACAGGGAGGTGAAACATAAGAGCCTTAACTATAGGGAACTAACTGAGGGTCGCTGGAGGGGAGGTAAGTGGGGGAAGGGGTAACTGGGTGATGGGCCTTAAGGAGGGCACTTGATGGAATGAGCACTGGGTGTTACACGCAAATGATGAATCACTGAACTCTGAAACTAATAATACACTATATGTTAACTAATTGAATTTAAATAAAATAATAAAAATAAATAAAATAAAATCTCCCAAACATTGTAGAACTAACCTTGCTTTAGAGTAATATTGAAAGAATTAAAGCCAGCACACCTGGGTGGCTCAGTCGGTTAAACATCCAACTTTTGATCTCAGCTCAGGTCTTGATCTCAGGGTTGTGAGTTTGGACCCCATGTTGGGCTCCATGCTGGGCATGGAACCTACAGAGAGAGAGAAAGAGAAAAAGAAAGAAGGAAGGAAGGAAGGGAGGGAGGAAAGGAGGGAGGGAAGGGGGGAGGGAAAGGGGGAGGGAGGAAGGAAGGAAGGGAAGGACAGCCAATAAATTATGCTTTTTTAGACCCCTGATAAAACACTTTTCTTTTTTCTGGTGAGAGATTCCCAACTAGATCATTTCAGTCAAGAGTATCCAAGGAAATCTCAGTTCATTGTAAACACTAGCTAGAATATACTGAGCACTTATTAAGTGCCAGATGCTTATTGATTTATGGACCAATACTATAGAAGATGCTATTATTACCTCCAGTTTAAAGATAAAGAATTCAGAGAGGTTAAAAGATTTTCCCAAGGTGCCATGGATTCTGAGTATCCAAGAGAGGATTCAGCCCTCCTTCTGAGTGACCCAAAGTCTGGAACTCTTCACCAATAGGATCTTCAGCCATCTTTGGGACACTTACCCTTCACTTGCCGCCCAGACAGGTGTGCATTTGCCTTTCCTCAAATTCTGCCTATTTTGTGATGTTCAATCACTGTTTTTGCTGTTTCCATTGCCATGAGTGAGAAGGAAACAATTCTGTTTGTAAAGAAACTTCCAACAGCTTGGAGATGAGGCCGCTCCAGGTCAGGCCCTGCTTCTAGTCCCACTTGGCTGACTCTCCCACACAGGGGAAGGTGGTATGCCTAGGAATTGCCATGAAACTAATACCAGCAGTAATTCAGGATTTATGGGGTTTGAAATCAAGGAACCAAGGTTTATGCCTAAGGGTTGAGGAGATGTTTCTCATCTAACTAAGCTCCAGGCACTTTCAGATAACTTAGCCTCTGGAACACTCACAATGTTTGGGTAAGTTAGGTATTACTGGTCCAGTGTATTTTTTACTTAAGAGTCATTAGCATGAGTGAAGACAGAATTCGAATCCAGATCTGCCTGTCTCGTTACATATATGGGGAGAGGGGCTGGAAAGAAAAGACAGATTCTTGCCTTTTCAGGCTATAATTTTTCTCCCTCTCAGAACTCTGGGTATCTTCCATCATGGACATCTTCCAGAGCTTCTAGGGTAGAAGAAAAGAGAGTAATCAAGAGCTATCCCTAAGGCCTTCCATCCCAGGCAAAAACCTTTGATTCTATATATAATGCAAATGCACCCTTAGGGAAGGCACAACCTCTGAATCTCTGGGGACCTTGGACAAAACTCTCTAGCTCTATGAGCTTGCATTCCTGATTTGTAAAATGAGCACATTAAACTACCTGCTCCCCAGAGCCCTGCCATGATGGTATTGATTCTCTTCCACTGTAGGCAATGTTGGGACGAAACAACGGGGAGTCTTCCAGAAAGAAGGATGAAGAGGAAGTTCAGAGCAGACACCGGCTAATCCCCCTGGGCAGAAAAATCTATGAATTCTACAACGCACCCATCGTGAAGTTCTGGTTCTACACGGTAAGCATCTTCCTTTTTCGTCTTCCTCATGGATGACCACAGAGAGTCAAGGTCAGGTTCGCATGCACCTACCCGGTTTCCTCTGTGAGTCACAATGTAAGGATCGCACAGGCAGGAATGAAAGCTTTTCCCAGTGTTCTGCAAGATGTGTGGAGTTTGCAAGGCAGCTTCCACAGTGTCTGCGTTTTTCCTCCTTGCAGAAAATAAAGGAAATGGTAGAAGTGAGAACTGACAGAAATAGAGGTGAGAGGAGTATGAGTCTAGTCTAGCAGGAAAATAGATGTCATTTTCTAAAACACTTCTGTGTTCTGGATGGATGAGTGCTGGATCAGAGTTGCCCATTTTTGATGCCAGTCCTGAGTTTGGGGAACACGTGAAGGGTAAGGGCTGAGCAGAGTGTTAAAAGTAACACCACTGAAGGGGGGGGGTAGCCTAAGTGTGTGACTACTGCCAACCTAGGAGTGTCATCAAACAACCTTTCTTGCTCAGACACAATTAAACAACATGCCAACCAAAGCAGCAAAAACCACTCACGATAACCTACAGTCACAGCAAAGACCGTCCAGTACCCACCGCGCAAGAGTTTTCTGCCCACGAGATGAAAGATCGTCCCTGAAATAGCCTCTGGATATGGTAGAAATGGCTCGACTGTTGGTTTTCCACTTCTATGTTTCATGGTATTTTAAGCCGAAGGTGAGCTCGGGCCCAGGTCAGCTCTGTTCTCCCAGCCACGGTGGCACTGTCCCAGACGAAGGACGGGTGTCTGTATTTTTGGCCTTTCTCACAACCAGCTATATACACACCAGTCACCTGAGTCAGCAAAGGAAAATCCGAGTCTGAGGCCAAGATGACTCAGATGACTAGCTGAGGTCTTGTTCTGTGTGGTTCTGTATGCTAACACTTAACGCCGGCTTTTAATCAGGCTTTCGGAACCTCAGCGCTTTGACGTGTTGGGCAGAATGATTCTTGGTGAAGGAAGACTGTCCTATGCATCATGGCACATTCAGCAGCAGCCTTGGCCTCTGTCCACTAGATGCCATAGCAGTCTCCAGCCCCCGAGCGTAACAACCACAATGTCTCCGGATATGGCCACACGTCCCCTTATGGGCTGACGTTGCCACCAGCTGAAAACTACTGCTTTCGACTATGGTCTTGGAAGAGGATATAATCAAAATATAATTATCAGATTTTTTCAGTGAAGTAAAAACTCAGATTTATGAATATTACAAAAAAATACTCCTCTGAAAAAAGTAAGACTTGCAAAAATAATTTTGATTTATATATTTTACATATATATGATTTTTACCTTGCAGTAAACGAGTTAGTGGTGACCAGCATGGACTTTGGGGTAAGACAGGCTGAACGGAAATCCTGTCTGTGCCTCTCAGTATTATTGTGTGACCTCAAACTAGCTACTTGAGCGTTCTGTGCCCCGTTTCCTTAAGATGGGGATAATAATAGTACCTAATTTGTAGGATTTAGGAAAGATTAAATGTGTTAAAATATGTAAAGCACTTAGAACAGTGCTTGGAACATGTAAGCACAATATAAATGTAACTGTTTTTATTCCGAGGCTAGTCACATTGCACAGTGATAGTGTTTTTATTCATCCATCCGCTCAGTAATGATAATATCATTCTTTGAACACCTACTGTGAGGCACTGTTATAAGTGCTTTACATATACTTTCCCTAAACTAACAGTTTCATCAAGATAATAATTTTACTGCATTTTCCACCCGTTCCTGTCCTTCCTCTTATACCTCAGTTGTCCCCACCTAGAACAGGGCTCTACAAACTACATTCCCACAGGGTGAATCCAGTCCCAAATCCAGGCCCAGTATTGTGGACCGTGAGCTACAAATGGTTTTTACATTTTTAAAGAATTGAAAATAAAATCAAAGGAAGAACACTTTATGACACATGAAAATTATATGAAATTCACACTGCAGTGTCCATAAATAAAGTTTTATTGGAACACAATGAATTTCATTTGTTTACCTATAATCTGGCTGCTTTTGTGCTACAAGGGTTGAGTCAATTACTTGCCATCAAGACTTTCAGGCCCACAGAGCCTCAAAAATTGACTTTCTGGTCCTTTACAGAAGAAGTTTGCTAACTCCCGACCTAGAGCATAAAGGAACCAGGAGAAGCAATAGTATCGAGAATTATCTATCACCTTTACAAATACAGGACTCCCTTCTCTTATCCTTACAAAACATCTCTTTTTTCCCTTGATCTTTGTTCAGTATTAACTTTATTTCTTTGATTCCCTTGGTCCCCATTTATTCAGCTGTGGCAATTTGTTAGCCAAGGAGGCTTTTAAACCAATGCCCTGGACAGTGGTTTTCAGCCTCGGCTACACATTGGAACCACCTGGAGTACTCTGAAAAGAAAAAAACAACACCTGGGTTCTATTTAATCTCTATCTTCATCTATTTTTGTAAAGGCACCTGGGTTCTCTTCTCAGCGATTCTGACATCATTGGTCTGGGGCACAGCCCAAGCATCGGGATATTTCACAGCTCCTGGGTAGTTGTAATGGGTAGCCAGGGTTGAGAACCACTGCCCCAGACAGAGGGCTGAGTTTTTAGCCCAGTATTTTCCCAAAATTCTATGATGATAAAGAATCTTGTTAGAAATGCAAATCCTGGCCCCATCACAGACCCATGAAATCAAATCTCCAAGGAGGAGATGAGGAGGCTCTAGGTTTAACAAGGTGCCCAAGTGAGTCCTGTGGTTTGGGAAGCCTGGGGACACACTGCTTTCCTTGTATCATTAGTCGCAGGTCGTGAAGCTGCCTCTGAGAAGGGGAGCCTGTGTGTCCAGCTCCCTTCTGCATAGCTGAATGTAGACAGGACGCCCCAGTCCTGTTCAGTTGTGTTTACATGACTTTCAGAAATCCACGTTTATGCATTTGCAAAGCCCAGGCCTCAAGGAAGTACACGGAGACGAGGAGCACCCAATTTTTAAGTCCCCAGGGAGGCTTAACAGTAGAATTCAGCTTTAGATCAAAGGTCCCATTGGCTTTCGGCTGTGTTCTTTTCTGTAAGAGTATTTCCCACTCTGATTTCAAAAAATATCCCCTTCTATGCCCTCAAGTTTCTGAAAGATAGGACACACCTCAATTCCTCATAACCTCACTTCTAATATCTTAGCAAGCTTCCGGAAGAGCAGGTTGGGTCCTCTTCTGTTCCAAGAAGAAAGGAGGCAGGGATCCAACTGGCTCCTGGACCTGGTTTGTGATGAAAGCCATTTCAAGTGCCCAGTTGGAGAGGATGCCAATTCAAGGTATAAAAGAGGACCCAAGTCAGAGCGCAAGAGACGTGCTCTGGGCTCCTCCAGCAGTGACAGACTCCTTCCTCCATTTCAATGCCACGTGTCCCCTCCACTCTCCAGCAGCAGTGGGAAAAGGCCCACCAGGGATCCACGCCACCTGCCGCGGGCTGTGCGGCTTGCATTGCATAGTTTAGGAGTTGTGCATCTTGGTCAATGGAAAATTTATACAAAGAATATAGAAGCCAATAAAATACAAACCCTTATAGGATTCCCACTGACTTCAATAAGAGTCATAAGGTTATGTTTCTGTTCAAAGCTTTGACATTCTACACAGAGCTTGTTAAAGCTTACAGAAGACATGTGTGTACGTGTCTACACACACACACACACACACACACACACACGCATGAAAGCATGTCACGTTAAGGTAATCTGCAGCAAAGATCCCATGAATGTTGGTGAGTTCTAAGATAGGTTGCCTCCCAGACAGCCGCCAGTCCTCTGTTGAGCCATTTAAACACGTTTAAAGCTGTATTTTTGGAAGTCCATATTTTGAGAGTTGTCCCAAAATGTTATATTGCAGCCTGATTATGGAAGGAAAAGCATTATAGAGTAACTGGGATTTAAAGAACAGGCTGATCATGGAAGAAGCATAAACAATAAGGAGGGCAGTTTAGAAAAGGAGAGGTATGACTAGTTAATGGGATCAAAAGGAAGCAAGGAGTGGGGTAAGAGGAGACAAGAGGAATAGAAGTTTCTTGAAAAAAAGAGGCAAATAATAACAGTAGCCACTATTCATTGGGCCTCTACTGTCAGGAAGGAGATACACATTCTTCCCCCCACTCTCCCCCCAATCCTTTCCAAAGCTCTGTAAGGTCAGTAGCTATCATCACAGGATTGGAGGCCCAGGCAGGTGATGTGATTTACACAAAATGATACAGTTTGGAAGGACCTGAGCTAGGACTTAAATCCCAATTTCACTGACTTGGGTGTCTACATTCCTTCCACCAAACGAATACGCTAGACCTGTATTCAGAGGACAGAGGCAGGTTGGAGGAGTTAAATGCTAAAATGCCGAGGTTCTGGGAGAATGGTGTGGGTGTCACTGCGCCTACATGTGACAAGAGAAGATAATGCTTTGGAATGTGTTGCAATGAACTGGGTAAAATAATAAACACCAGGGCAGTTAAGGAGATTGGTTTCTCCTAGAAGCAATGGAATGGGATCCAACAAACAAAAAGAAGCAACCAGAAAGAAGGATTTCAGGCCAGAAGGAGGCTGAGAGTATGTTTTAGAGTTTAGCCATTGAAGTCCACTGTGTCTTGAGAAATACTCACAAGGACCAGAGAGTGGGATGCCAGTGTATAATGGAAAACAGGAACCACATGAACCAAGTTAGATTTTAAACAGCATCCTACGTGATTTTAGGTAGAGCTGACTTCTCAAGTGAGGTTTGCAGAGGGTGCTAATGATCCTGAAGGGGAGGAGTGGGACCTGAGGTGTGGAACAGAATGACAGTCCCTGAAGGGGTAGGCGTCCGAGAGCGCATCCGTGAGGTGGAGAATGAGCCCCTCTGGCCCTCCGGCCTCTCCACAGCTTCCGCACCTAATCTAATGGAACTCTGACATCTATCTGTTCACCTTGCCAGAGAGGAGAAATTATAGGGTTGTGTCTGTAAATGCACCGACGTTAACAGGGTCTTTAAAAATACCTTTGACTCCTATTAAGAATCTATGTATCCCTTTTATTGAAAAAGGAAAGAAAGGAAAAGAGAGAGTGAGTGGCCCCATTAGCAGAGAAGGCAGCTTGTCTTTAGCTCTGTAGGGCTGCCAGTTCCCCTTCTGTCTCCCAGCCAGGCTGCGCCTTTCTCCACCTGCTAAGCTGCCCACCAGGGCTCCAAAGCCACACTGTACCTCCAAGGCCTCAACCTTTTTGCCCACACTGTGTCCTATTCTTTGCCATGTGGGCTCTGAAGAGTGCAGATAGGAATAGACTCACTCAGTTCCCACTCACAGCCCCGAAGGCCCCCAAAGCCAGCAGGCATCTTAGCTCGAAGCATTGCCTAGAAAAGGTTGGGCTTCTGTGCCATTTCCCCGAGGGGGCCTTCTTCTCCAGAGGTTCCTCGGTCCCCTGTGCAAGAACCTCACCAGCCCTCCTCCACTCCACCCTACTCGTCGAGACATAACTGAATCTTCCAGTGACAGTCACCAAACCTGAGCCCTGAGTTTTCCTCAGACACCTAGCACCTCAGCCAGTCCTGTCAAGATTCAACCAGGATTCAAGCCTCGTGAGGATTACATCCCACTCCAAGCTACGGTCGGCCACACAGATCCATTCCTTTCTACACATCGCTTTATCTTCTCTTGTTTTCTTTCGAAGAAGCAGAAACCAGGGAGGAATATCCCAACTTGGATAGGGTAGGGAGGTGGTGCAATGGAAAATAGATAAAACCCTCCCAGGTTCCCACCAAGCCAAACACATTAAGGTAGGAGGAAAAAAAAGAAGAAGAAGAAGACATGCTATCAGAAAAGAATTCAAGTGGGACTTGGAGATAAAGTCCAGTCTATTTTTACGTTGGTTTGACCAGTTTACAAGTACAGTATGTGTCTTCCTTTCCTTCCTACAGACATTTAATCTACCTGGCATCCATTAGGCACAAATCCACCGTGTGCCCTAGTTCAGGAACCTGAGGCTCAGGCATGAGCAAGAATCGCTCTGAGGGAAGAGGTTCCCTTTTTAGCCAGAAAGACATGAGAAACAGGGTAACTGCAAAACAAAATGATGCATCATGACACAGAGGTATAAGCAAAGTACTGGGACCCAGAGACACACGTAAGGGTCAAAGGAAGACAGCATATCATATGATTTCTATTATTACAGTCTTTTATTATTATTTGACTAGTCGAAAGCTTTGAGGTTAACTCCATCGTGAATTCTGCATCCTGCTTGCTGACCTTGTTCTGTCCTGCAGGGCGGTGGCCTTGTGCAAGGGCAGGGCCCCTGGGTCTTCGGAGCCAGAGCATGCTATTTATTGTGTTTCCTTACAGCTGGCGTACATCGGATACTTGATGCTCTTCAACTATATCGTGTTAGTGAAGATGGAGCGCTGGCCTTCCACGCAGGAATGGATCGTCATTTCCTATATATTCACCCTGGGAATAGAAAAGATGAGAGAGGTAACTACTTTTGTAAAAGAGAACATTGGAGAAAGACGGTGGTTAGTTACACTTGTGGGTGGAAGGGAGAGGTGGCTGCTAGGGATCCAAATTAAGCCAGAAACTGGGTTGTCTAATGCTGCCATAGAAATAACAGACTTGGCCTTGAGGGCCGCTGACAAACCTGGGGAAGCATCACAGTGTGTCTAGAGGTTGCCACTCCGTGCATGCTTAGGGTTTGCTCTAGCTTTTGCACACAGAGCTCTTGCCCCAAGAAACCCTCTAGTTGTCTTCGACACTGTTTACGCCTCTCTTTTGTCGACTCTATAAACAGGACTTCTCAAATTGTTCCATTTTCCCACTTTTAACTCCCACTGCAACCCTTTACTCTGGGTCTCTTTGGGCACTGTAATCCAATACGAGTCTTCAAATGCGTTTCAGCAGCTCTGGGAGGAGGAACTATGCTCTCATTCATTAATTTATCCTCTGGTTTATTCCTTCTCAACATTTATTATGCACCTGCTCAGCACCAGCCTTGCCACCAGCGCTGGGCATCACTGAGATGAAATGAAGATACTTCTTGTCCTTCAGGTTGAGGGTGTGGGTACCCCTCTTCTCCCCCTAATCCCCATCTTGTAAAAGGAGCTATGGTAACCCCACTCCCATAGGACTTGCTTGAAGTCAAAGCCAGTCTCAGGGGCCTTCAGAACGTGAGCTGCTAAAATCAATGTGCTCAAGCAATGGTCCACCAGGGGGCTCTGCAACCCTGCTCAACGTGCCCCACAAACTCCCACTCCCTAGGCTGGAGGGAAGGCGGGCTCGTGCTGCGTGATGCTTCTTTCGAATTTCCCCCTGGAACTACACTCAGCAGGCAAGGTCTTTTCTGGAAGAATTACTCTCCGTCAAGTCCACTGCACCCTCAGGAGCTCTGGAACAATCCTACTCATTATACTACAGTGAGTGGGAAAATATATCACGGTCCACAGAAAAAAAGGATTCCTACAAATTCATAAATTCACCCTTGCCTTCATTACCAAGACAGGTGAAAAGACCCTCAGTATCTTAGGTTATAGCTCTCGAATGTTCTCTTCCAGAAAAAAGGGATGCAGTATCTATTAGATGCCATCATAGGGGGAATCACCCCCCCCCAAATCTCTTAAATATATTTTAGAGCCCTTCTTTTGGGTTTTTAAACTGCTTTGGGGATACTTAAATTCTAATCGGCATGCCCCCATCCTGAGAGTTTGGAGGTGTACACTAGTCCCATTCTATGAGACTGGATTTTTTTTTTTTTTTTTTTTTTTAATGGATGATGCCTTGCCTGGCCTTGTTCTACTTGATGGTCTACTCTTAGGTCTTCCTATTCACAGTGCCTTCTAATTCCTGACCAGGGCTGTGGGCTTCCCATTTGTGAAATGAACAACTGTAATAAATTTGCTGTGGTCTTTGCATCGCTCTCTTGAGAACTGAGGCCTGCTACTGCTAAGGGCTCTGCGCTGCTCAGTAGGAGCTCCTCTCCCGCGATTTAACGCCCTGATGCATGTTCCTTCCCCCATGATAAGCAGAAAAGGGAAAAGACTTGGGCAGGGAGACTGGAATCCCTCCAGGGACCAGACTGGAAGAAGACAGGGAGCAGTCTGTACTCCACGGACTGTTCTGGAAGAGGCTGCCAAGCAGGCGGGCTGCCAGGAACCTCCCGGCCTGGATATCCATTTCTCCTGAGGCGGCATGTAACAGTGGGCAGGGCAGAGCTCTGCAGCCTCGGGTCAGCAGGGGGTCAGCCCAAGAGTCCCCGCTTCCGAGGAGGCCGAGCAGGAAGGCGCTGACCACCTTCCTGTCGGATCTGTTCCTCCTCGGCCTGGCGAGGCGGCCGCCCACGCCCGACGTCCCTGGACGCATCCGAGATGCTCAACGGCCCCGAGGCTGAGGGCCCCACAGGTCCCGCCTCCGCGCCTCCCGCAGCGCGCGGGCATGCAAGATCCTGGAAACGTGGAAAATCTGTGGGCTTCCCGGCCTTCCCATATACAAATAGGGCTTTGTGGTTTCACACGCGGCCCTCCCATTCCCAGCACCACATACTTCTGCGCGCAGTCACCAAAACAAGCCTCGGGGATCCCTCAAGAGCCCGGAACTGTTTACGGCGCGCGTGGGCGGACGTCCTCCCTCCCGGACCCTCCTCCCAGCAACCCCGCTAGGGCGCGGCGGGGCCGCGGCCCGCCGGCCACGCCCCTCCCGCCGGCCACGCCCCTCCCGCCGGCCACGCCCCCTCAGGGCCTGTTGGAGAAGTTTTAGCGTAGGGGTCGTGCTTCTGCTTCCCCGCAGCCGCTCAGCCTTCATCTCTTTTGTTTATGTTGAGATTTCACAAAGATATTTCTGCCGGTTAAAAAATGAAGCTGTCAACCTCTGTGTTGACCCGTTAGGTGTAGGAAAGTGTGGACTCAGGGTTAGAAAAACTCCAAGTCATTTCCCATCCCCCCTTTGCCCACACACACGGAGTTTTTCCTCCTTAAGATGGAGCCCGGTGAGAAGCCACCCGGACGACAGCAGGTGCGGGAATCCCTGACGGGTAGGACAGTGGCCCTCAACCCGTTGTCACCAGCTTTACCTGGGAACTTGTTAGAAATGTAAACTCTTGAGCCCCACACCAGGCACACCGAAGCAGACTCTCCAGGCGTAGGGCGCAGCCATCCGTGCTTTCGCCAGCCCTCCAGGTGATTCTGATGCATGCTCAAGTTGAAGAAACCCTGGGCTAGGGTTTAGGAATACAGCACTGCAGAGGAGGAAGCATGAGGCTACCAGCTGGCTCTCGTATCTTGGGCAGCACTCCAACCCCTCGTCCTAAGACCTCCCTTCCTTAATATTTCAGGCCAAGGTAAGCCAGGAAAGGCGACACGAGGATTCAAATAGCTGCACATTAGATCTGCCCCCTGTCTTTGCTTTCCTCTCCTTTGAGAGGAGGTCCTGGGCTGGGAAAGGGGGGCTGGTGATGGCTTGAAGGGACGGAAGTCTCAGGGTAAACAGAGGATTCGTGAAGGTAGCCCAGCTATACAGTCTCACTAGGCCTCCCTCATAGCCTTCCTGGCTCGTCACATCCACCCAGCAAGCTGTGCTGTGGGACGGGTGGTAACTCCCACCATCCAACTGTGCACTTCATAGAGCCTACGTGTGGCAGCAGAAAAGCCCCTCTAGATTTAAGGTCAGTCAGAGCCCCACCCAGCAGCTAATGATAGAGGAGGGAGAGGAGATTTGCTGTGAGGTAGGTGTCTATGTAGCAGTCAGTCAACAAACATTTATTGAGACTCTATTATGTCACAGGCCCTGGGGAACAAAGGGTCTGTCCTCAGAGTTTACAGTCTAGTGGAGATGATAATTAGGTAGACAGATACGTACAACATATTGATGTGCATACAGAAGTTGATTTCATATAGTAATAAAATCTTCAAAACATAAGGGTAATACATTAGTGACTGACTTGGGGATGGGGAGGCCCCTGCAGGTAGGCTAGTCAAAGAAGGTCTTCCTGAGAAGTGGACATTAGAGCAGAGATCTTGAGGGTGAGGCGGAGCCAAACATGTAAAAATCTGGGAGAAGAAAATGCCCAAGAAAAGGAACAAGTGCAGATATCCTGAGCATAGAATGGACTTGTTATGCTGAAGAGCACACCACTGTGTCTGCAGGTGTGGAATGGCAAGAATATGGTGGGATGGGAAATGAGGCCACAGGAAGGAGTTTGGATCTTTCTCTATTTGTATTAGAAGCCATTGGACGATGTAAATATTCACTTACCACAATTTGCTTTAGTTTTTGTTGTTGTTATTGTTGCTCATGCATCTCTCAAGTCTCTTGCTGTTTTAGATGTGGTATAATTTACCTGTAAGAAAATGAACAACTCCTGAGTCCAGCTTGATGAGTTTCTGTCTACCTGTACAACTGGGTGATCACCACACAGATCATGGCTTCAGTTTTTAAAGATCATTCTGTGTGCTGCTCAGAGAATGGATTGAGGAAGCGTGTGCAGCAGTGGTGGCAGAGATACTAGTTAGAAGATGTTGCAATCATCTGGTTGACGTGATAGGACTTAGAATAGAGTGGCAGCAGTGGGTAGTGGTGAGAAGTGGTTGGATCAGATTGTATTTAGAAATAGAGGTGATATTGATGCAATTCTCTGGATGTGAAGAGAAGACTGCAGTAGCCCTCCCTGGGGATCTGAGGAACTCAATATGGTGGCACCGAGATGGAGCAGAATTTAAGAGATTTACAGTGTATTAGGAGCAGTAATTTTATAGCAAAACCCTAATGCGTGTCTTAGAATGGTAAGGCAACCCAAAGGAGCAAACTTCTTGCTTATATTTGCCTCTGGAATGTTTGTATCTACGTGGCCTAAGTTTAGCTCAGTTGTATATTCATAGCATGCACGTATTCACGTAGACCCAGGTAAACGAAACAAGCTACTCGTGTCAACTAACAGACCAGGCATTTTCCAACTAGACTGAAAACATAGACTGAAATCAGACCTAAGCCCCTTTCTTTCCTGCCTTTTAGATTCTGATGTCAGAACCAGGGAAGTTGCTACAGAAAGTGAAGGTGTGGCTGCAGGAATACTGGAATGTCACAGACCTAATAGCCATCCTTTTGTTCTCTGTCGGAATGATCCTTCGTCTCCAAGACCAGCCCTTCAGGAGTGATGGGAGGGTCATCTATTGTGTGAACATCATTTATTGGTACATCCGTCTACTAGACATCTTTGGCGTGAACAAGTATTTGGGCCCATATGTAATGATGATTGGAAAAATGGTAAGCAGGGTCCTCTGATTCCATGTTATAAATTTGTAGAGGAGGAGTGGCAATAACAGAAAGAGGAAAAAAATTCATTTGGGCCTACTGAGATGGCCCTGGGGGTGCTTTATTTTTTTTCATTCCTTTTGATTGAGAGTTTGACTACATCTATATACCTCACCGGAAAATCAACCATCACTCACCCATTTACTTACTGAAAAACAATTACAGATCATCTATTTTGTGCTAAGCATTGGAGTAGGAGTTGGGTATATAAAGGAGCTCATTCCATGAGATCAGAGATGAGAGAAAGAGAAGTAATTACCATCCAGTGTGAGAATGCTGTGACAGAGATGCATATAAAGTATAAAGGAGCATAGAAAAAACAGTGTAGGTCAGGGATGGCGTCCCATGGAGGTTACATTTTAGCTGGATCTTGGAGGAACAGTGGGTGTCCACTCCAAATTTTTAACAGATTTTTCGATTTGTATCATTTCTTCTTCTTCTTTTTTTTTTAATAAAGTGCTTGAAAAATGCCTTTCCCTACACAAAGGAAAGAAAATATAATCTACTTTAGCTGAGTTGAGCTAGGTTGAATTTGAGTAAGTGTCCCTTACTTCATCTTTACAGGGCACGTGTGGAAAAGCCAAATACCTCCCTCCTACCATGGTAACTCTTACTGAAAAACCTCTGTGCTAATAACCTCCACTCCACTTCTAGTTGTGAGCTGTTGAAAACGAACCATTAGTCAATAGATGTCCTTTATCATTCTCAGTCAAGTTTTACTATATACATCATCGCTGCTGACCTTTAGGTCAGCAAATTCATATTTGTTGTTATTATTATTAGTGTGTATGTGCATATATAACTCTACTGAAATGAATTTTAAATAACCAAGACTCTTCCTACAAAGCACTGACAAACACATGCCAAGAGGAGAATTTGAATCCAAAAGGAAGGGGTTGTGAGACCTTGAGCAGTTAATTTAACCTCTTTAAGACTCAGTTTACTCATTTAAAGTAATTATAATAAATGCAAGGTTGTATCTTGCAAGGTTGTTGTGATGATTAGAAATAACATGCTAAATAGCTAATAGTAGGCTCATAGTAGGTAGTTAATAAATGGCATCTGTTATATTTATATATTTATGTTCAAATAGTTTTATGTTTGTTAAAGTATAATAAAAAAAGGTTGGGGGGATTGGTGAGCCTGGTTAGTCTGCTCTCTTCTTTTTTTTTTTTTTAAGATTTTATTTATTTATTTGACAGAGAGAGACACAGCGAGAGAGGGAACACAAGCAGGGGGAGTCGGGGAGGGAGAAGCAGGCTTCCCGCGGAGCAGGGAGCCTGATGCGGGGCTCGATCCCAGGACCCTGGGATCATGACCTGAGCCGAAGGCAGATGCTTAATGACTGAGCCACCCAGGCGCCCCTAGTCTGCTCTCTTCTTAACCATTTTGTTAAAAAGAGCTTGAGATTTATAACACCAGTATTGCTTAAGGGAAATATCACCAAGCCCATTCTAGAGAGGAAAATTTGAATTCAACAAGCCTGAATTATTTACCCAAAACCGAATCCCAGTTCAATTGGGATTTTTGACTAGATAAAAAAATGTGTATCTTACTCTGTTGCACAGCCTGTTAAATAATCTCTGTGTTTTAGTAATGAATTTGAGATTGTGGTAAAGATTTAGATGTCTAAAAGCAGAGACTTTCAACTTAGAGTCTTTGGGAGAGATTTAGGAGAAAGGATTCGTGGACCCTCCACCCAATTTATATATAAAAAATACACGAGCATATGAATTTCCTGGACAGTTAGGACAAGCTTCCATGAGATTCTCAAATGTATTTTCAAATGAACCCAATGAAAGTGAAGAATTATAACAGCTGCAAAATTAGGCTAAATTTTCTCAACCTGGACCCTACTGATATTTCAGATTAGATAATTCTTTGTTGTGGGGGCCATCCTATTCATCATAGGATATTTAACAGCATCACTGACTTCTACCCACTAATGCCAGTAGGGTAGATGCACACACACACACACACACTCACACACTCACACACACTCACGTCAACAAAAACATCTCCAGACGTTTCCATATGTCCCTTGAGGACGCAATTGCTCTCTGTTGAGAACCACCACAGTAGACAATTGCATAATCTGATGGCTTGTTTTTTCTAATTGATTGGTTGCCTTGTTTTGTTTCAATAAATAAGATCTGAAGTCTCAAGCCAGCCAAATATATTACTTTAAAAAGGTTGGGTGGCATTGAAATACTTGAAATATCTAAAGTCACACTAAAACAGCAAGCTTATTGTAAAATCCCCGTCTATCATTTTAATAATGGCATAATTATCCCCAGTTTCGACTTGAATGAAACCTTACTATGGAGTGAGCAAGAGAGATGTACTGCATTTTCTCTACCTTCCAACTTATGAATGACTTCACTTATCAGTCAAGAATAAGTAGAAAATGAGTGTATTTGGTGGCTTTGTTCTCTTTCATGGAGCTTTTAAGATACTTAGTTCAATAATTGAGTCACTGATCCAGAAGGTAGGTAAACTATGCCTACAGAATTTATCAATGAGCCAGGTGGACTGCCAGGCAGGAAACTTAACAAAATATGCCCAGATGTGATTATTCTGAAAGCCCCGCAATATTAGAGAGTTCCTATTCGGTACTAAACAGCCAAGTAACTCACTGTGTCCTGTGGTAAGGGATAGACAGACAGCTCCTAAGATACCTGGACACAATACTGATCCACTAGGATTCCAAATGATCGTTAAATTCAGGATCAGTTACTGGAATCCTGACCCCTTTCCTCCATATTTCACTTCTCAATGCAATTCCTAGGACTCAATGCAATGCCTAGTACTAAGCTCACTTATATAATGCAGAATAAAAACAACAATAATAATAGCTATCGTTTACTCTGTGCCAAACAGCATGTCAGACATGTCATCATCACTACAACCCCATGAAATGGCTTTTAGTATCTTCATTTGGCAATTGAATAAACTGAAACTGGGCAAAGAACAAAGGCAGGATTTCAGCTTGTATGGGTCTGACTTCACAGGCTGACCATCCAATGCTAAAAATAACAATACATTAACATTTACAGAGATCTACCCACATTGCTTCACGTATTACCACATTTAATCCTTACAAAATTAATATGCATTGTCATTGTCTTTATTATCCTCATTTTGAAAATGAAGAAGGAAAAAAAAACAAGATTAAGTAACTTGCACATGACCACCTAAGCTATTTTTACTAGCAGAGTCAAGATGAAAACTCGGGTGGTCTAACACCTGTACAGGACGCAACCAATGGGTTTACAAAAATGAGACAGAATCAGCTCTCTTCATATTGAACCAACTGGATGACTTAGCTATAAAAACAGAGGTCCCCAGCCCTAGTTTTTACTAATAATGTTCGATTTCTGCACTCTAGCAGATTTTAGTATTTGTGTGGAAGACTTTTTTGAAATCTATGAAGTTGAGTGGGAAGAATCTTTTTTTTTTTTTAAGATTTTATTTATTTATTTTACAGAGAGACAGTGAGAGAGGAAACACAAGCAGGGGGAGTGGGAGAGGGAGAAGCAGGCTTCCCGCTGAGCAGGGAGCCCAATGTGGGGCTTGATCCCAGGACCCTGAGATCATGACCTGAGCCGAAGGCAGACGCTTAATGACTGAGCCACCCAGGCGCCCCGGGAAGAATCTTTCTTCTCTTTGGTTGTTTTGGCCCTTTGGGTAGATAGCTGACTCAGTCTGAACGAAAACAGCCCTGAGAAACTAAATTAGAGCAGTTGCTGTGTGTACTGGCTGTTTGCTTGGGTCAGACTGGCTCCTAAATTTCATGAGTACATACCTTCCTCTTCCCACCCATGTTTTAATCAATCCAAATACACAACATGAAGGACCCATTAGTGTTTTTTCATTGATAAAACTTTCTGTAAATAAAGGATGAAAGAATTTTACAAAATAAAGGATGAGCAACAGGCCTGTGTTTCCTATAAAACTGTTTCAACACAGCTGGCTTATTCACTTTTAAGAGAGTTCTGAGGACGCTATGCTGTGAAAGGAATAACCAGTTAAGTAGCATATATTTTTAAGAACAGTGAACAAATATGAATGAACGTCAAGTTTTGAGAGATTCCTCTTGAGTCTCAAGGTCAGACGATACTTGACAGCTGGGTTTGGAAGTTGCCTTGACGGTTGATTAATTGACTTAAAATATATTGAGCCCCCAGTGTCCTCGGGCAAACAGGAAGGCTCTGGTGTTTTAATTCTAATAACAGGCACCATGGAATATATTCTTTTAAAATAAAATTTTAAAGCAAATTTAAAGCCTTTATTATCATTGATAAAATTATCATTAGTGTTTCTTCGTGAACGGGTATCCCTTCAGGAAGTTTGATATCCAAGAGAAGGTCATCTTTTGTATTAGATGGTTTGATATGAGGGATAGAAGCCAATCTCCAACTAGCTTAAGCATAGGAGGGATATATTGACTTATAGAAGGGCAAAATGAAACCCCCCTTAAGGGCTGTTACAATCAGGCCCTCAACCACTGTCAGGACATACTCTCTCTCTGTCTGGAATATCTGCTTCATTCACTCCTCATCAGTTTCACTAGTGGGAGCCTCAGCCTCAGACACTCTGAATTCATATCATTACAGAAAAAGAAAGGGAGCTTCTCTGTCCCAGCTTCAGTTGAAAAAAAAATCCAAAGAAAGGATTCTGATTGGCTCGTCTATGTCACATGCCTATCTCCTATCACTGTTGCCAGAGGGTGAGGTACCATGATTAACCTAGCCTGGAAAAGATACCTATCTTTGTGGCCAAAATGGGTGGGAACTGCTTCTAAAAGAAGGAGGCAATGGGTTCTGGCCAGGCAAAATAATAGTTATTACATCCCCATCTATTTTTGGTGATAAAAGGAAAGTAATTTGGCATATGAGAAACAGATCCCAGATAATACGTATCATGAAAACAAGCAAAAAAGAAAGGAATCAAGAGGAACATTGTGCTCAAATGCAGTCAAGAGAATTTTATAAACATGTCAAGATGAAAATCCAACATTTCAACAGCAGACACAGAAATGGGCCATTAGACAACCTGATTCTATTGCCTACAGAAATACCATCCATAACTGATAGGATATGCTACAAGAGAATTAAATACAGAAAGAATGGTTCTCTGAGGGACTGGTTTGTGGTAGAACACTGGATGATGAGGTGGTGCCACAAGACTAAGAAGGTATATGATGGATATTTGGGTTGTCCTAGCTTTGTTTGCAAATTATTATTTTCTTGAGTGTTCCAACTCTTCATTAGCCTTTCCAACTTAGGGAATTTACAGCATTGCAATAGTTCTTGAAATAGTTCAATTATCCCAATTTCAATTTTGCTAAGAAGAAAGAGACCCAAGGAAGACATTTGCCCTTCCCAGGAACAGAGACAAAGTTAGTACCGGATTCGTAGCGAGACCCGAGCTTCATGTGACTCCCATGCCTATTCTTGACTAGGTGGCACAGACAACAATGAAAAATGAGGGGGTTCCATACTATGTGTGCTTTTTTAAAAATGATTTTTGAGTTACTGATAAAGTTCTGTGGAAATTGCTTCAATAGACCAAGTGTTCTCTTTCTTACTTGGATACAGCTGTCTATCTGTATATCCCTTAGCAGTAATATTAAAACTGATCCTCCTTCAAAGGTCTCCATCAATGTTGGTGTCATAGGAACATTCAGTCATATGGATTTTCTTTTGTTTCTCCCTCTGCTTCCCCACCCTTCCAGATGATAGACATGATGTACTTTGTCATCATTATGCTGGTGGTACTGATGAGTTTTGGGGTCGCCAGGCAAGCCATTCTCTTTCCCAATGAAGAGCCATCATGGAAATTGGCCAAGAACATCTTCTACATGCCCTATTGGATGATTTATGGGGAAGTGTTTGCGGACCAGATAGACCGTAAGCAAGTTTATGATTCTCATACACCAAAGTCAGGTATTGAACTTCAATTGGGTCATGTCTTTTCTGAGTTCATTTGTTTGTTCTCAATAAATGGCTCAAGATAGAGGACTGATTCCTAGCTTGCTATCTTGGAGGAAAAAAAACAATTACAGAAGGCAAACATACAATTTTCATAAAGTAGTCCTCAGGTGTTTCTGCAGGTATGTCCTTTCTGTGACACAAATCGATATCTGACATCCCAAATTTGATAAAGAACCATATAAAAAGATCTAAATTATTTGGGGATTCTAAATCCTAGGGCCATGTGTTGAATATTTCAATATTATTAAAATACTATGTCATTACTTCCCACCCTACCCCAGCCCCCAGCCTGTAAAAACTAAATTCCTTGGGTTTGACTTCAGAACAAACAAACAATTCTCTATTTTGCCATCAGAATTCAAGAGGGCAGACATCTGCATGGTGTTTTCCTTGCAATGGAAACTATTCTTCAGCTCCTTTTCCCACTGTCTTAAATTATGTGCTGTTGAGACTCAAAAGAAGCTAGTATTCATTGCCTGGAAGTATGGAAAATGCCTTAGGTTATAAACTGAGTTGCTTGCTGTAAACGCCAGAAAAAAAAAAAAAAAGTATCTATATCATGAAATGATTCAGTGTGAGGAGCGAGCACCAGCAGGCCCCCAATGTTTCATGCCCTAATAGATGCCGATTCTCTATAATAAACGCCCTCTTATACAGAGTTTGGAGGTAGTTGTATCCGAGGAGTCTGTTCCAGCATTTTATTTGGACCAAATGTCAGGGCACACCAGGCTTTGGGAAATTATTTGGGAAGAAAGCATCAGGAAAGAAGTACCTTCCAGTATGGAAGAGCTGAATCCCTAAAGCAACTATTTTTCATTTTCCCCAAGGAGTTTAGCTCTAGAAATAACATCCCTCCAACATTGTCGAATTAACATTTTTGAAATGTTTTTTGCTGACAAGCCAGCCATCTGAGCCCTGGACTGTGGTCATGGATCGGGGTTACATAACCAGGGAGTATAGTTTGTGAAGCACAGCAGCAGAGACCAGTCAGTACCTGCCTCCTCCCCAGCCAACCCCAGGTAGGACTGACACCAAGGAAATAAGGAGCAAGCACCAGAGAGCATGAGCCCTCTGGACCTGTGAGGAGTATGTGTACACTGGCAACAGGACACATTAATATGTCATTTTCCCTCCTGTGATGGATTCTGAACAACTACCTTTCTTAAAATGAGTCATCTGAGGCAAGAAGTCTTTCTGGAACACCTAATTGGAACAAATATTCATTTCAGGAGACTTGGCCAAGCTCACTGAGGAAGAATTTTAACTCCATCTCCTGGTTGTAAGATCTTTGGTTGGCAATGTGCAGCCTTCACCGAGACAGCTTTTCAGGGCCTGGGGAAAACCCTTTGGGGATCCTCCTTTCAGGTCCCTAAAGGCAAAACAACTTAAAAGCCCATCTACGATCATTCTCCTCAGAGATTAAATGTATTATTTCCCCCCAAGAAATTGCTTTCCACGTACATTATTTTGCCTTTTTTAGTTTTCCTTTCTTCCCCAAAATGAGATTAAGCCCCCATGGGTGTTTTGACAGTGCAACATTTTGGGAGGGGAGAAGGCAGGAAGTGTAGGTGTGTTTTATAAATGGGATTCTGTCTGTCCCTCTACAAGTGGCCATTTATTGATGTTGTACTATGAGCCCAACCTAGTGCAACAGACACCACCATCTGGCTGAATAAGAGGATTTATTATTGTTATTTTAAAAGAAGGGCTGATTGTAGTTTAGAACTGGAACCCCACCCCCACCCCCAGAGATGGAAGAGAGGTGTTTTGTGTGAGTGAAGTATGAAAATAGATATCCCTTATTGTTCATTAGATCTGTGGTGCTCTATGTGTGTGAGAATAAATTTCTACTCCAAATCTCAATATAGACCTGACCCAGCCTTGGATGGATGCAACCTTCATGACACCCTTCCCCCACTTACCTTCCTTCTTGACTTTCCGAAATTGGCTGCAATGGTAGCCACTGTTCTAAGCTAAATCAGCCAGTTTGCTGTTCAGAGTGCTAAAGAGCATTTGTCCTTTCTCAAATGGGTATAGGAGGCTGCCCCCAAATCTGTCATTACATTTGGCCAAGGTCATTGAACATCCATCCCTATCTTGGAAATAATTTGATTTTCATGTTATGGCACTGGACAGGCCCAAGGGGCATTAGGTGACTGCCCCACCTAGCCACACAGAATTGCCTGGGAGACCCAAGAACCAAGCTATTTGAGAAAGGTACAAATCATTGACGCTGCCCTACGGTGTCTTGCCTCTTTTCTGTGCCGTGTCCGGGCTGGTTTGTGAAGCATGTGTTCAGGCTGATGGGATCTCATATCCACCTGGACCCACAGCCCTGCCCAGGGTCTGCCAGTCCCATCCTGTGGATGTGGCCCTGTGGGGGCCTCTTCGGTGCTGCTCATTCACACACACCTTCTCAGAGCATCTCATTTCTAATGTGATGCACGTGCTCCATCTCTAACTCTTTCTGTTTTGAACTGCAAAACTGCTGAACCCATTTCATGTTTGGGGAAATAATCTTTCTTGGGATGAATGTACATGGATGTGTAACAGAGCCCAAGGGGTGGGTTAATAACATCTGTCTTCCACCTCAGACGGGAGGACAGCTATAATGCCCTCACTTCCGGGAGGCCGTGTTTCTGAACGACAGATTTTTTATATATACTCCCATTTTTTTTTCTTGTAGTTTGTCCTAAACCCAGAGACTTTCAATAAGGCCAAAAAAGCTGGAATGAGACTTCTGAGGTTACTTTCCAAATGTGCTTAAAGACTGAAAGCCAAAGAAATAATACAGAATGGAGTCACTGTAAAATCACAAAATAGTTTAGGGGGTTTTCACCTCTAAACTAGGTTAGATTAACACAAATGATAGTCTGGCATGAGCCTCAATGGTCTGTAGAGGCTAAAAGATTTGCTTTGTGTCAGGAGCAGATATGAGTGCAAGATCATGATTGGCAGCAGCGGATGATGAAACTGGGAAGGGACAGTCAGGGTCTGCTCTGCCAGGATGTTTTGCCTAGCACCATGATGAACTAAAGAGAAATGACCTTGCTGTTGTCATTGGGTTGATGTTTAAGTTATATATAACAGCAACCCTCTACAGCCCAATCTATGGGTTACCGTTCAGTAACTTGGGCCCTAGCTTGCTAAATGCATTGCTACCAAATGATGACATCCTTTTAAGTGTCTCATTAAGGTGACCCATGTTGCATGGCATGTGAGAGCTGGTCAGGATCCAACTGGAGCCTGAGTGGGGAAAAAACCATTTAGAGAAAAGGAGCAACAGAATAAATTTCCAGCACACTCATGCCAAGGCCAGGGCAAAGCTAATATTAGAGGGCCTCTCTCCAGTTGAGAAATGTGGTTCCATGGTGGTTGAGGTACCTAGATAAACACCTTTGTTGGCCGAGAAGATGGGTGTCTCTAGCTTCCTTGAGCCTCTAAATGAATGAGACTTCCCTTTATTCACAGGACATCCTTGTGTTGGCTGCCATACACGCAGATTACCCCGGCTGTACCGGGACAGGGGAAAAATGAATCACGCTTTTGAATGCATTAAATCAGAGTCTAAATTTAGTCCTTCTTTCTGCTGCTCTGAGTATTTTTACAAGTTTGGGTACTAATAGGAAAGCAGAATGTCCAAAACTTCCTTTCTACCATAACCACTTAATATTATTTGGCTGTTCCCCTTGGCCCAGATTAACTATCCAATCTGCTTAATGCATGGGTCAATTTTTTTTTTCTCTTACTGCCTATAGGACTTTCCATCTGAAATTAATAGGTAATCTGGAGTGAGAGGGCTTACTTTTGTTGCAATTTGGTTTGGTGTTGCTCTATTTTATTTCTTTATTTAGTACAAAAGTTTTGCTATTTAAAAGACAAACAAACAAAAACCTTGCTCTTTCGTACCCTTAAGATGTCTGTGATGTTGACTGGATCGAAAGCATTGTTTTTGTCAGGAAACAAGGAGCCTGTACGTACATGTAAAGCTAAAACATTGCCTTGTATTACTTTTCTGTCTCAAATTATTTGTTCTTCACTTCACGTGTGGAAGTTAGGATAGCTCAAGGCTGGTCTCTAAAATATGCCTGCTTATGGCAAAGCTTAGAACAGCATGAACAGAGAAGATGGCTATTGTTATGCCTTTCGATCCTTAGACTCCTGTTCTGGAAACTCGGGGCTCTGCAGCTGTTTGGTATTCAAGACTGACCTTCTCTAATGGATTCCGAGCACACTAATGCCTAACAGCCATAGCGTGGGGGGTGTTGCCTGACCAAAGAAAGTATTTTGGAAAAGAAAAACTTGAGCCAGGGCCAACTTTTGGGAAATGGGGAATTGTTTTTGCTGGGTTTTGTTTTCGAAGATTGCTAAGGAAGCAAGCCAGCAGAAGGCACCACCCCCTTTTTTCTGTCCCTGGAAGTCAGCTTACATTCTAGAGAATACCCACCCAACTTGTTTGCTAATGCAAACTGAGACTTAGTGAGTTTACAAACAGCAGAGCTATCTGCAGACAAGCCTTTGTGATGATTCAGTACGCTATAGTGATCAACATTTGTTTCACTGTCACAATATTCATTTAGCCTTTGCTCATAGGTTGGGCTCCATTTTAATCCATCCATTCTTCATTCAGCGGATATTTATTTTGATCCTACTATGAGCTGGGCACGAGGTAAAGAGATGCACATGTCAGAGATACTGTCTTTGAGGAAGTTTACAGTCCAAGAGAGGCAAACTGACATTGACAATAGATATGTGGAGGTGGAGCCCCCAAAGAAAAGTAATCGGATCTTAGGGGCACAACAGATGAAGAACTTGCAAAGAATGGGAAGGTTGAGCTGAGACCTGAAATATGAGCAGATATTTGCTGGGCAGATGGGAGCAGGGGGGTGTAAAGGAGAATGGCATTCCAAACTGAG